TAGGAGTTAGTTGTTTATATATATGAAGCAAACGTTGTTACAACGTCTTTTGTTTTTTTTCCTTTTTTTTTTTTTTTTAACTGCGGGTCTTCTATAAAGACATTTTTAGAAGTTAATATTTCGGGAGAAAAAGGGCAGATGTTTTCGGATTTATTTTGAAAATACTAGAAATGATTTTAGAGAAATGACATCTCGGCTCAATAGCACGGTCACAGTTTCAGGCCAAGTAGTCAAATTTAGTCTTTGTTTAATTCTGTTTCAATAAATACGATAATGGAAAATTTGAAATGGGACTTCTAATATATATATATATATATATATATATATATATATATATATATATATATATATATATATATATATAACCTCTGCCCGTTATTCTTTTTTTTTTTTTTTGTTATCGAACTCCTCCTAGGGTTTTGGAGATAGACCAACCCCACCAACCATATTTTTTATATATATATATTCCGAAACTAAATTATCTAGTGTACTTAGATAAGTATATTTCATTCTGATCGGGTGGGGGTGGTACTGATCTTTCCCCACCTTGTTTTAAATTTGAAAAAAGGAATAGTACCTATACAAAATATAGAAGAAAGCCAGAAGATGGAGGTCACATCGGCAAAATGAGACAATATAGACGTCAAGTTGAGCAAGAAATCACCAATCAGTGGGTAGTACGTTATAATACAGATTTGTTGTGACAATTCAACTGCCATATCAATGTGTAAATCTACTCATCAATTCATCCAATCATATATTGCATCATATACATATCAAAGGGTCAGATTAGATTGTTTTTGAACACCCCCCGCCACTGCATGTTTTCCCTTTTACAGTGTTTCAATATCCAGTTGAATCTACTCTCTCTCTCATATATATATATATATATATATATATATATATATATATATATATATAATTATTCACACAAAACTAATGCAAAGGTTAATGATTTAAATGGCGAGACATCCATCATCGCAAACAATTCAAATAATATACAAAAACCTCCGTATCCGTTATGAATGAAATGATCCTTGTTTATATAAATTTCTGCCGTATTAGTTCTTATTTTTACTACAAGCTTTCGTCTGTTCCTACAGACATCTTCAGGTATAGAATAGATGTTGTTCTTGTTTTTTCTCTTAGTAATAAGAGGACAACGAAAATATATGTATTGTTGTATCCGAAATGCTATTGAAAATGAGTTATTGTTTTTTGGAGCGCGCAGAAGTAACGCTGAGTTTGATTTAAAAAAAATTTTTTTAAATTTTTTATTTTATAAGAACGCACAACCTTTAAAAAATTAAAATCAAACTCAGCGTGATTGATTGCACGTTTATCGTATATATATATATATATATATATATATATATATATATATATATATATATATATAAAAATAAAATTCCTTCCGTATTCCATCAATGCGAAGTAAGTTCCACTCGAATAGTTTCATCCCGCGAACCACTGATCTGTTTACTACAATCTTGACGTTCAAATCTAAGGTTAACCATTATATTCACCCCCTATCCATACAAAGTGACTCCTAACTAACCCTCTACCCCGAGCATTGTACAGTGTGAACCTGTAAAAATAATTTTATATATTATTTTAAAGGATTTTATTCATTTTTTTTTTTAATTCGACATGCCTTTCGAGTAATGTGAACAAGCCTTAAAGATAAAATAGAACCTTGCTTAATTTTTAAGGTTTTTGTAAACTAGTGATTAAAGCATATCGGATCAGACGGTGGTCTCCTCTACAAAAAGTGACGCAGGACACACTTTCTTTAATAAGTCTTCTCACGGAGTGTGCCTGGCCGGTAGTCATAATAAGCAGTTTTTTTTTTTTTAAAATAACATGCTGAGCGTTTATTCAAATACAGGTATACACTGAAATAACTTTTGAATATATATATATATATATATATATATATATATATATATATATAGAGAGAGAGAGAGAGAGATAGTGCATGTGTGTAAACTGTATTAAATAAAATATTTTGGCAATAATCAGATAATCCGGCGATTAAAATATCAAATAAATTATCAAAGAATATTTACGACAAACAGTATTATTGGCTAAGAAATTAAAACTTTTCAAAACGTAATTACTTTAAAGAAAGGGAAAACCAAAAATAATCTCATGATGATTTTCTATTTAATAAAGAGTTTTTTGGTAAAAATTGTTCATTATTTAAAGATCTTGTGTCTAAAGTTGTGTTCATTTATTGTTTTTATTATTCCTCCGTTAATCGTATGTATCATTGTCCCAGCATTCTCCACTGCCTTAACCAGGTATTGAACTCACCTTCTTTGGGTCTGTCACTGGATCTAACCAACGTCTTTCAGAGGGAAAATTAGCAGGAGATAACTGATAACTGACATCCATCAAACATGGCACGTAGAACTAGAACAGTCTACCCCAGTGATCGAAATAAAGGGTTCAGTTCGAAATTCCAACCACCTGAAGAAGGCCGGAGCGTACAACGGCCGAAACGTTGTGACAAATATGGCAACAAAAATGAGGACAATAGTCCGACTAATGTAAATACTATATATATATATATATATATATATATATATAAGTCAACCACAGATAATGTAAATATGTGTAACTACAGCCACAGCAGCAGACGTATTTAGGACTCTTTTATTGAAGACGTTTCTAATCTAATAAGCTACTATAGTCTTTTGAGCTTAAAACGCACACAACCCTGTGGAATCCATTTTGGTTGTCATTCATTTACTCCAAATACATTTAGAAATTTGACGAATTCGACTAAATTTAGCTTGAAACCACATTAATCATGCTAACTACATCTAGTTAGAGAGACTAAACTGTTAACAGGCGTGTTCATATACAATAGCGTATTTGATAAGAACAGTAACAAAGAGAAATAATAAAGAGACAAAAATTACCTAGAGCAGCAAAGGTTTGAAAGTTGGGGAGAGTCGTAATCTCACACGTCCTGAATGAGAAGCTTAAAAAACTCACCTTTTTTCCTCCAAAAAAAATGTACGATATTTCGCGGCTTATAAGACGTCCCGATGCATTAGACACCTTTTTACTTGTACTTAATGGCCCTTCACACTATCCCCAGTTTCAGCCACTGAATAGAATATTTCACCATGAAAACATGACAAATTCATCACTGACCGAAAAGAAGTACCAAATTAATGCTAACTATTTAGAATGTAATAATTAGAAGAGAAGTTAATTCCCGTCATTAGCCTTCGATTTGTAGTACGCAGGGTTTTTTTTTTTTTATTTTTATAGAAAGACCAATGCGTCCCATAAACAATATACGGTAATAGAAAAAAAATAAATCTGAAGAGTCGCCCTGCGTCTTATATGCCAAAATGAGGCCCTCTATAGGCTAATTTTATCCCCAACACTCACAAGTGAAGGCTATAAATTTACATCAAATAGTCACTTCTCAGTAGCTTGACTTCATAATGACACTCAAACAGTATTATCATTAATACTGTCATGACGACCTCAACTAATACTACCATTGTCCAAAGAAACAGAAAATATAAAAGTATCGGCAACAATTGTACTTATTTTTCTACTAAAGTCCACCCAATACTAGTTTCCAGAACCTCTCGAGGTACATACATGATGCGAGGGATAAATTGTCGTCTAAATTCCGCAAAAATGAAAATAACACTAACAACTCATTTTACTAGATATTTTTGTGTAATTTTGGTAAATATATCTTCAAATACGGAAGAGTACATTTATTCAATAAAATTGCCTCTGGCTTCAACCACGGCCTCCAGACGACTTCGGAATCTCCTGCAACTACTCTGAATGGTTTCCTTGTTTAAGTTGCTGAATGCTGACATAATCCTTGCCTTCTGTTCATTTTTGGTGTTACAAAGAGTTTTGTTGGTCTCTCGCTCAACTGCCCCCACTCATAATAGTCAAGGGGGATTCAGTTTGGGGAGTTAAGTGGTCAGATGGTGATGTGGTCGCAGAAATTGTCTGACAGCCATAATTGGGTTCTTCTGCCTGCGTGGCATGATGCAGAGTCCTGTTGCTAGATGGAGAGTCTTCCAACAGCCACCATCTTGACCTGGGTAGCATTACCTCCTCAAAGCACTTTATATAGGCCTCCGTGTTGAGGCTCTCACCAACAAATTCGGGAGTTTTTTTTTATCAGAACTATCAGAGTGAGGTTTCCGAGCTGCCGTACTTTTGTCGTCACCATTAGACTATCCAGCTCTTTCCGTATCCTCTGCACTGTCCACATATTGGCACCCAAACATTCTGAAATCTATTTTTATATTGAAGCTTCCGGCGCGAATGCCAGGCAGTACAGCATGCCATTTCCAAATTTCTGGTGGAGTGAATTGAGACATGGTGCTCTTTTTCTCACAGACGATGACCAACTGACCCTACTATAATGCGCAGTCGACAAAAAGAAACGCGCAATTAAAAATATAAAATGCTGACAATTTATCCATCACACGCCGTAGTTACTGAATGACGTTTGACATGTGAATGTAAGAATATATGAAGAGAGAATAGGGAGGATTATTATACGATTGACCTTTGACTTGAAGAGATTAAGACTGTCGTGTTCAGAGAAGCATCCACACAGGAGTCTGTTTCTCTTTGGGAGAAAAAGGGACGTAAAACTTCCATACAATGGGAAGGAGGAGGAAATGAGTAGGATTCGATTCCATAAACGTAGCCTAGCGGTCCCAGCCAATTCCTTATGCCTAAATATACCTCAGCACACTTAACACTCATATGACCTTTGATTGATTTACTCACTCATTAACTTTCTATAGTTTAATTCTTTGCAGGTTATTTAAAGCCAGAAAATATTTTTAAATTTTAAGATTTTATTTAGTGATACAAGTTTTACTAATTAACCCATAACTGGGGGGAAAGTAAATATAGCGAACACAACGAGAATTGGAACTCGACTCTTAGATTAACAATTCAGAGCTATTACCCATTACATCACCCGCACATCCAAGCTTACAGCACATGGCATTCCCAAGCGGTCACCCGTACCGGTATTGACAAGTTTCGACGTTGCTTAACTTCGGTGATCGTATGGGAACTGGTGTTTCAACGTGATGTGGCCTTAAACCTCACGTGAGAGCAAGAGAAGCTACTTAAGGAGTTTGATAGGAAGTCGTGGAGAACCATAATTTCTCACTTCCTGAAAGGAGATAGAAGAAACTTATCAACTAAACCCACACCTCGGTCTTAGCAGAAAGGAAGATTTTATTGCATTTTTGGATAATTGTATTTAAGGTTCCTTGATACTGACATTTGAAATCTAATTTCTTACCACAAAAACTCAATGTTTCGTTTATTGCTAATTATCCGTTTGGAGGCAAGAACAACAAAAAAAATGCTCAAGAATAAAGAAAGAAAGAAGAAAAAGGAAAAAAAAAAAAAAACGCACCAAGGTGGGGTTATAACGATCTCTAGAGACACACCCAAACAACGATTCTCTTCTCTTTAGAATTTTTTTTTTTTAATTCCTTGGTTGGCGGGGTCTGGTAGGGTAGAGAGACTTCACAAGGAAGGCCAAAATACGCAATACATACAGAGGGTGTAAAAAGGTTGCAGAATCCAAAATAGTCAAGAATTTGAGGATTTCACGACGGTGGTCAGCAAAAAAGAACAGCCTAAGATATCAACTACATATTGGAGAGACACACACACACACACCAAAAAAAGAAAAAAAAAAAGTAAGCAGAAAAATCTCTAGGAAGTGTTTTAACAGAGAACGGAAATGTAATACAATAATCCGAAGGCACATTAAATAGCGAAAATTCCATGCCTGAAGTTAAGCAAAGTATTTAGAAACAGAAAAATTTAATTAGAAACCAAGAAAAGACTACTGTTATGTAATATCCGTTCTATATGGCAGTGGATGCTGGACAATTTTATAGATGAAGAAAATACGTGAGGTAAAAAATATGGTTTTAAAGAAGGACTGAATAAGTAACGTGAAATTTTTGCAGAAAATATAAACAAAAAACGGTTTAAATTTCTCGGACATACGAGGAAAGAGGGCATGGAGAATTTGACACGTACAAGTCATATTAAAGACGAGAGGGACAGAGGAAAGCAGCAAGTAACCTAACAAACTTGAGTGAATGAATGACAGAACAGAGGTTGGGAGAGATAAGGAAAAGACAAACCTTACTAAGAGCTATAAAGGATAGGATGTTGTGGAGAGTAATGATCGTTCACGACTTGAAGGGACACAAGAAAGAGAAGCCTCTTTTTTGCCAGTATTAAACATTTTAGAAGTCAACTCAATCGCATTTAGTAGAGAATGCTTTTTTTAATATTGAAAACTATTTCCATATAGTCTTAAAGTAGTTACTGTTTCAGTAATTAGTGTTTAATGAATAAGGTGTGATCATGCTCTATATTAAAAGCCATTGTTTCGAATTAAACTTTTTATGTTCCCTAGGAAGTCTTTAGAAAAATGAAAGTAAAAAGGATTAATACCCAGAACCGGAAAGAGACAGCTGATGTTTTGGGATACATAATAAGGAAGAAGTGTTTGGAGAATCTGACACTCACAGGACATGTCGAAGACAAAAGAGACAAAGAAAGACAGCGCGTTACCTACCTGACGAGCTTGTGCAAATGGATGGCGGAATAAGGTGGTAGTAGGTTTCCGAAAGAGACAAACGGTGCTAAGGGCTACAAGAGATAGGAAGTTGTGGATAGCCATGATCACTAACTTCCTGAAGAAATACAACACTTCGAAAAAAAAAAATATATATATATATATATATATATATATATATATATATATATATATATATATATATATAATATAAATAAATAAAATAGCGTTTCAGGGAAGGTATGGATCCGGATTTCTTTGCGGGTACCAAATAACTAAGAACGACCTTTTACATGGAGAGGAGCTGGGCGCCACTTGATCCAAAGATGCCATAAAGTAGCCAGCCGTATGTACCGTCGAGGTGGCCTGATGAAGACGATTTTAAATTTCGCCATAATATACGATTTTACATTCATGACATCATACGAAAATGGTCTCATTTAGTTTGGAAACCTTTTAGATTGTGTTAGAGTTCAAGATGCCCGTTCATAAGCACCATCGTTAAGATGAAAATACAACACAACCCACTGGATTAAAAACTTTGTTAATGAATTTGGTGACATCGTAATTGCGAGTTCAATTCCAGGGCCTTGCAGTGTGTACTTGGACACAGTGGAAACGGGTGATAAGTAATTGAGCAGTACTAAAAATAAGAACTAAACGAGATATCCCAGAAATGGGCAGGGGAACGAGAATAGACCACCCCCATAATTTAGTTCAGAACTCCCTGCAGGTTACCCAGATTGATATACACCTGATGAAGGCCGGGGGATACAACAGTCGAAACGTTGAGAAAATAACAAAATAGATAAGAATAATAGATCAAATATAAATAATGTAAATAACGGAATGTATGGTTGTTAACAAAAGGAAAAGCCCAAAATGCAAATTACAAATAGTAAAATCAAACAAATACAATTTAAATATCTGCGAAGTGTGTTAACTGGCGACGGAAAGTGCGACACTGAAATCCGAAGACGCCTTCTGATTGCCAAAGTGGCATTCAAAAACCAAAGCAGAGTATTAAGAAACACGAAAAATTCCTTAGAAACAAAAAAAACAAAAAACAATACTGTTACATAATACATCAGTCCTCCTATATGTCAGTGAATGCAGGTTAATCTCGTCACAGATGGAGAAATGACTTGAAGCAATAGAAGTGTGATTCTACAGAAGGATGCTGAGGATTCCATGGACCGAACATTTGAGCAAACAAAAAGGAAACCTATTTAACACCAGGAAGAGACAGTTGCGACTACTAGGGAGTATAATGAGAAAAGACGACATGGAAAATCTGATACTCACAGGACAGATTGAAGGCAAGACTATAAAGGAAAACAACACATAACCTACTTAGTGAGATTGAGCAAATGGGTGATGAAACAGATTTTAGGAGAGATAGCAAAGACACATTTATTAAGAGCTACAAAGAACAGAAAGTTGTGGATACCCATGATCGCGAAAGTAATGAGGGGACACGGAATAAAGAAATCGGAAAGTAATGTCACTGAAAATTTTAACAGAAAAGAAAAAAAAAAAAGATTCAGTCGAAGTTTTTTTTTACTATTTATATTTTACAGGACAACCAAGATTTCAAATATCTCTTTAGGACGTAGTTGATCATAACTCTCCACAGCTTTTTTTAATGAAAAAAAAAACATGAAAAATATAACAGTGTCCTTCGTTCGCCTTCCTTGTCTCATGACTAGAAACAACGTTTCCGAATGACAGTAAGCTGGTTGCTTTGTCGTTCAGGGTTTGTATAAAATCGACATATGTTCCAGAGTTGAAAGATTCAATTAAGTTGGGTGTGGTTAAATTTCCTTTGTATCTTTTCCTAAGAAAAGAGATAATTATATATATTATATAGGAAATACGATCTCCACCCACTTGTATGATGTCGTTTTGTATTCATTTACAACGTTCGGCCCCATACACCAAATCCGTGGAAGGGATATTCGTGATAATATAGTCACTTAACATGTTCGGCAAAGTGTGAAAGCAAAGTGTGAAGGCAAAAAAAGGTAACTTATTGTTTGTGTACTAATCTCGAAATTACTGGTTTCGAATATAGGTTATTTATTTATTTGTTTGTTTGTTACGGTTTATCAACCTTTCGCGGGTTATTTAAAGCCAGAATTTTTTAAGGTACGGATTTTAGAGAGATAATGATTTACTGATAGAAGTCTTACTAATAACCCATAGCTGGGGGAAGATATATATATATATATATATATATATATATATATATATATATACATATACCTTTCCCAAGGCTATTTGCGCGTAAGTGAATATAACGAACCAGACTTGAATTGGAACACGGTTTCCCGACTTCCAATTTCGAGCCTTTTTCCATAAACCACAGCACATGCAAGTTTACTGCACTTGGTATTCGCAGACGGTCATCCATCTTGGGACTGACTAAACTTGCAGTGGATAAACTTTGTTTCGTTCTGAATTTAGTTTTGGTTTATTTTGTTTTACGGTATACCAACCTCAATGGGTTATGTCATGCCGACAATTTTTTTTTTCAAACGTATTTCTGGTAATATTTTTCCTTCAAAAATGTATTGCTGGTAATATTTATTTAAAAAAATTGTTGTTTCTTTTTTTTTTTTCAAAAATGTATTGCTTGTAATAGTTTTTTTTTTCTTCAAAATTTTATTTCTGGTAATAATATTTTTACAAAGTATTTCTAGTATTAAAAAACTGTTTTACACTTTCATAATGTTTTTACCCCCATTTTCGTGGTTAACTATTTGCCCATAGCTGGGACCCTAACAGGTGCTACCACCCCTGGTCAGGGCGGACCTGAGAACATTAGCAAATAAGAAGTGGTTCCACGCTTTTCAAAACCCCCTGAAAAGAGGCTTTGCTGCTGGACATGGTTTATTGTTATACCCAGGACGGCGTTCTGAATTTATTTAATAAATAAATAAATCTTCCGCCTTTAACACATTTCGATGTGTAGAACGCTACATTATTCCGGTTACGTTATAAAGGCGACAACAGCAGAGACATCTTCATGGATTACGAATTAGTCTTATGGGCAAAGTCTTTTTAGAATATAAGCGGTCATGTCTCGCCACAACTTCTTGTTTTTGTTCTTTTAAGTAACTTAACCCTTTACCATTCTTCTTCGGTCTTGTTTGCCATCATTTAATTAAAATTCGCCTCCTGCTACTCTTGTCTTCAATGTCCTATGGGTATTATATTCTCCAGACCTTCTCATGTGCTAACGATTTCAACAATTTCTGATTATTAGTAACACTTTCCTGGTCGCTTCTATTTCTTTCAAACCTCCTCGTTGCCGATTTGTTTTCTCGATGGTATTTTTTAGCATTCGTCAGTAGAAACACGTCTCTGAATGCTTCGCATCATTTCTTCATCTGTAAGGAGTTTGTCATATAAGAGAATAAATATTACAGCGCAGTTCAACACTTCGTTGTTCCTTAGGACTTTTTTTTCTTGTCTCGTAATACTTC